TCAATTAGCTAATACAACAACAAGCTTATTTAATTAGTTTTTTGTACTCAAAATACTAATTCAAAAAAAAAAGTTGAAAAATAGCATTTTGTGAGGAGAGGATTAAAAAAAACAGAAAAAGAAATATGACGTAATTTATACGCTGTTTAGCACATGCTTATTTAACACACCGCTAATTGAAATTAGCTAATATAATGTGATATCCGATAATATTAGCTATCGAGTGGGGTTCTCATAAAAGTGATAAAGATGGATCATGATCTAACTATGCAATTGTTTTTATTATCTAGTGCTAACTGCTGCGCATATAATATTACTAATTACCAATATATATATCATTTATCATTGAGAAATATAAATAAAACTAGCAAGTGACATTACGAATATAATTGTTCCATATTAAACGAAGATCACCACTTCTTTATGATTGGTCGAGATGCAATTATACTGCCCAACTCAGCACGTCTATTTATCGCCTAACTATTTTTCAGGGCCAGCCTCGACTTATTCATAACCCACACATGCAATACTGTTTCATGTGCTTCCTAATTAATTCGGAGTACAAATAATGTACAAATATTGATGTTACATATATAGGGATTGGACGTGAGACTCATTCTTAACCACAAGATTTAGATCTTGATTTAAATAATAATTTTTTATTTTTAATTATTTAAATATTATTATGACCGTTGACTCTGGCGTTGACCGTTGACTTCCGGTGAAAATCGTTGGCTTTTGTCGTTGACTGTTGACTTCCAGCGTTGACCCGTTGACCTTAGTATGCATCATGTATGAAAGAATAATTAAAGACAACTCACCTTGCAATCAAAGACAACTAACCTTGCACCTTGCAATCAAAGACAACTAACCTTGCAACTAAAGACAACTAACCTTGCAACTAAAGACAACTAACCTTGCAAACTGAATACAACTAAATATTGCAAATAAAAACAACTAACCCTGCAACAAGATAGAACTTTGCAACTACAGACAACTAACCTTACAATTGGAGAAAACTAGCAGACAGAACTAACCTTGCAACTAAAGACAACTAACCTTACAACTACAGACAACTAACCTTGCAAACTGAAGACAACTAAATATTGCAAATAAAAACAACTAACCCTGCAACATATTTATAATAACTTTGCAACATATTTATACTAATTTTGCCTCACCATATTTACTTCATACATATTACATTTTATGGTCAACGGGTCAACGCCGGAAGTCAATGGTCAACGCTGAAAGTTAACGGTTTTCGCCGAAAGTCAACGGTCAACGCCGGAGTCAACTAATAATATTTTTATTATTCAATTAATGTATATTTTAATTGATTAACATAAATCTTTGATCTAGACAAAATGAGTGGCTAAGATTGAGTCTTACGGACTCATTTTAAGGAGTGGTCTCATTAGATCCACCCCGTATATATATATATATATATATATATATATATATATATATATATATGTGTGTGTGTGTGTGTGTGTGTGTGTGTGTGTGTGTAAATGATTATGATGTTGTTAGGCAGACCTAACGGTTATAGAAAATCATACTTTTCCATCAGAACATAAACAAAAGTATGAAGTATTATATTTTCCAATATAAATTTGTATTTATTTGAAAAATGGATGACGAGTCTACCCATCTAACCGTTAGGCAGCCTTACCTGCCCATGAATTTGAAAATTTTAAAATATTTATGGACACAATTAAATGCAGTTGGTGACCTAATTGGACGAGGACTTATTGAAGGAAAAAAAAAACAAACACTGAATCAAAATTTATGACCAAACATTACATTGGTAAAAAGCAGCCATGCACGTGTGCTTCATTAAGTCCATTGAGTCCCGCCCACACACACACATGAGTTCAGAGGACCTTTCACTGTCCACAAATGGATGTTTTTAGCTATTGCCAAGTCTATTTTTAGTAGCATGTGCACACGAAAAATACACATACACGCGGGCGTCTTTGTATGATGGTATAATGTGTGGATGAGGCTTGTTGAAGGTCGATATCAACAACAATAAAGGAAGTGAATTTATTGCGTAATTAAAACGAATTGGGCAAACTTTACGAGGAAATTTAATGCTTGTTTGAATAAGCTTGCAAGTGTTTATTTTGCTTTTTAATTGCTTGAGGTACTTTGCTATCGCAATTCATTCATGGTAAAAAAATATAAATTTATCATGAATTGACTTGAAACAAGATCAGCATGAAGAAATCTCTAACTTGTAGTCGATGTTGATATTATATCGGTTACGGATGAAAAGTGTCGATATCATCTCTCTAAAATGCATGAAGTGCCGATATTACTTTAGGATGCTGATATCAAATTAGGTCTCATACTTCTTCGATTAAGAATCTATAACCACATACTATGATATTTCATATTTTAATATATATATATGTATATTTTTAAAGTATAACAATGTGCGTGTATATATATTAAAGAAAATATGACTTTTACCAATAGGGGTTGGCTCAAGTGGTAATCAGCTTGATGTCGCTTAAGCGAGGTCTTGGGTTTGTGTTTCTCTTTAGTTTGTAATTATCGTGTTTTCGTTCTTTCTTTTGTGCATCTTTGTTTTTCTCTTTGTTTTTGTTTTAATTTCTTTTTTTTCTCTTTTTCGTGGCTACGTGTGGTTGTTCTGTTTTGGTGTGCAGGAGATATGAACTTCAACCGTGCTTTCCCCTTACCGCACACCCAACCTTGGGTCAATGAGTCGAGCTATCATGACGGGTACCACAACCAGTCATATACATACCCTTCCGCGCAATACTGGGACCCCTTTCCGGTCGAGCAATACTATGAGTTTCACGAGTTCAACGAGAAGCTCGACCGTATATATGCTTTCGCAGCATCCGGGTTAGCTCAGGAAGAAGAGACCGTAACCCGGTGTGCCCGTCTGAACCAGCCACCTCCGTACTACGATTCGTGGGACTATGGCCAGACTTTGTCATATCCTTACGAGCAGCAGTGAGAGTCTATGACCAACGGATTAGTCGGGGCATAGCTCCGGATACCGTGGCTAGTTACCAAAAAAAAATAAAAAAAATATGACTTTTTAATCCACTAAATAATGATTTACAATGCAATACAAATATGGACCTTGACCCTACAACACTATCTATTCTCTACATTAATGGTGTGAATCCAAGTCATTAAATCCAACGGAAAGCTTCTCTATAGACTATTTATTGTTGGGCCAAAATCATTAGGCCCAAGACTGTATAGTAGATATGACTTAACTGTTTAGGGTGTCATTGAATATAAATTTAATTGGTTTTTAATGAATTAGTTTTTTATTTTAACTTTAATTAATTTTAAGAAATGTAACATGATTAATTGTTAGTGAGTATATTAAAATAAAATTAATTTGATGTAAAAATATGAAAAAAATGACTGGAAGTGATTGTTAGTTAAAATTATTTAAGTGAATGAATAGTAAATTAAAATTTATGTAATAGGTAAGAATGATTAGTTGATATTATTTAATTATATTGATAATATAAAAGATAGTGGGGTTAATTTAAAACAGTGTTCTAAAAGTCGCTAGGCGCCCGACCAGTGCCTAGCGCCTAGAGCGCCTAGTCGGGGCCTAGGCGGTGCCTAGTCGGGGCCCAGAAATCAATAGTAAATACCTTATTTTTTATTTATTTTAACTACCTACAAAATAAAATTATCTCAACATATAATAAATTCACACACCAAAGTCCAAATAATAATATTAATATATATTAAAGAAAACATGAGAACAAAATAATGTGATTAGTATTTCAAAAAATAAAAAAAAAAATTAAAAAGTTGCCGCCGAGCCCGCCTAGGAGCACCTAAGTCCGCCTACGCCCGCCTAACCGCCTGGCCGCCGAGCCCGCGAAGGCCGCCTAGGAGCGCCTAGGACCGCCTAGGCGCCTGGCCTTTTTTTTGCCGATTTGTACAAATCAGAGGTGCCCGGACACCCGCCTAGGCGACAGTCTAGACCGATTTTTAGAACAGTGATTTAAAATTTAGTTTTGATATTTTTTTACTGTAAAGTTTATATCGAATAACATCCTTAATCTTTAAAGTGATACCGCCAGGTTAAAAAAAGAAAGTTTGACACCGTTACGCCTAACGCTATATAGTAGGTGTGACTCAATTATTTAACCCAGTGTTTTAAATATCGTACCGATATGCGAGCTAACGGTACGCGATTCAACCGGTTCGATCGGTATTACCGTTTATTTTACCGGTTTCAATAAATATTAAATTAATTTATTATTATAATATAAATGATGTACAAAACTAACTTTAAGTAATAGTAAAATAAATTAACATCTAATAACAATGTAAACATAATAAATTAAGTGTAGAACTTTCAATTTACATAAATAAATTAATGAAAATATATTAAAAAATATTTTTTTTAAACAAAATAGCATAAACCGGTATTTTGACCGATATTTTAGCCAGTAAAACCAGTATTTTCTGGTATGAAACCGATATTTTGGCCAAAAAAGTATTCTAAGTGTAACCTTACCGGTCGGACCACCGATATCCGGTATTACCGGTAATACCGACCGGTACGGTACGATACGGTATTTAAAACATGGATTTAACCACGAAAAGGAACCGGCACAATAAGTAAGGATGCCTGAACAGAGGCGAGAAGATTCAGTATTCCAGTTAAATTAATATTAGTAACTATTAGACTATTTCATATAAAACTTTAGATGATTTTTGTTAGTAGTTTATACCAATTAAGCTCCAAAAGGCCTAATGAACATGATAGATAAACGACGACTGATAGTCCTTATTGTGCTTTTCATATTTTCAATTTGAAAATCCTTATAATAGGCTAACAAAACTTGTTGGTGCCAGAGTTTAGTCAGTCTCATGTTCGTCCGAATTCCATCCTAAACACATCGTCCGTTGTACAATTGTACAAACAATTGCTTCATGACTTAGACGCCATTATCAAGTCAGACATTCAAACATTAAATTTGCAATTGAACATATAAACTTAGAAATAAATTGATTAACCATCAAAATCAATCCATAAGAAACAGCAAAACAAAAGGAAAAAGGAGAAATGCATGCTAAGGAATATAAAAGCTGCTAATTTTAACATCTGCAAACAACATATGCACAGAAACAAACTGAAATCCTAACCTAACAACTTCTAAAACTTCTATACTTATCTACTAATCAACTACATACCCAAGTCAAGTTGTGTGTGGTTTCTCAATAAGTCTCATTCCACCTCAAGAGCCCGACGGCCCTTTTTCTGCGGCGACACTTTTTCTGCATACACACAATAATGCAATAAACATCAAAATTCTGTTTCATCCTCTTTTTTTTAGCATAATTTTGTCCATGTCTATACTCAACTTTAAACATCAAATCGATTCTGCAAAAAATCTATCATTTTCTATCTTCAATGAGTGACTCTCAATCGCAAATCGATATCACCGGATAAAAGAACATGCAAAGTAGAATATTCATTNAAAAAAAAAAAAAAACAGAAGCAAATAAGAAATTTTTTAGACCTGGGCCAAAAGGAGCTCGACAATTCTGATGAACAACGTGCTTCACGGTTTCCCTATGCAGCAGGTTGTGTTTGACCACTACTCGGTTAGTCCGATTAGGGATTTCTCCATTCTCAATCTCTCTACACTTGTTCATGGTGCTATCGGTTTGTTTATTAAGTTCCTCCACTCTTGATTCTGTCTGATTACCAGTGTTATTTATGTCCACCTTTTCCTCACATTCATGGCCTAACATTTGTGTTGCCAATTTTCAATAATAAGTTGGATTTCACATTGAACCAAGTAAAAGAAACAAAAAAACAGAACCAACAAAAAGAAAGAAAGAAAGAGAACTCAGATAAGAAGGAACAAATTTTCCAGCTTGGAAGAAATGAACTCTTTTATCAGCATGAATGTAATATCAGCAATACGGTTTCAATACAAATGCATACTATCAAGGTGTTATACTCTACAAAGTAACATGTATAAAAAGTATGAAATTTCATTAATCATAGGTATGCATTTATTTTTTACAAATGTCTAACGATTAGGCTGACCCACACAACACCAATGGAATCTGGCATATTAATTGTCACAAATTGTTGATATAAGTGTTGCAATGAAAAAAAAAAAATGGAAAATATTCAAATCAAAGATTGCACCTTTAAGAGGGCTAGCCGAAGCAATTGAGGCGTACATATAGCAATTGCTCTTCAAATACTCCTTAACACTCTCTCCTAATTTCTTCTTCTCTTTCTGGTCAAACCCTCCTAACATGAAATGCACAGATTATTCAAAGGGGCGAATAAAATAAAAATAAAACAGAACAGGAAGCAAATCGCACAGAAAAATACAAATTCAAAATCAAAATTTTTACCAAAAGAATCAGGGGAAGGTGTGGGATAAAATGGGTGAGGCGATATTAAAGGCGCGAACATGTAGGTATCAGATTTCATGTAGTTGAAGACATTCTCGAGTACTTTTCCCAGTTTTTTCGTTTTTCCGATGTTCTTTTGTATGGGATTTTTCTTCTTCTTCGCGTGGAGCGCGACAGAGGTTACTTTTTTCGCCATTAAACTTGTATTTTTTGCCGACCAAAGCAAGAGATTCTTACAATTCTTCCTATGTGGAGTAAGCAAAGAACGAACAGGGTAAAGAAGACTATGAGAAGAGATAAAATGAAGGCGAGTTTTGAGGTAAAAATAAAATAGGGAAAAATGGATGGTTGATGTAAATCCGAAAACGGTTGTTGACACGTTTCGAGCACTAGAGACGACACGTGTTGGTTATCAAGGTACCGTATGGGAATCTTTCATGGAATCTTATTGATTTTTGGAGAATTTTAGAGATTAGTAACGATTCATGCAAATGCATAATATAAATTTGTATTGTAAAGTATTATAAATTATGTAAATATTTAATTTAAAATTATATAATAAATAATGAGCATATAATTTTTAGATATTTGAAAATTAGTAAATCAACGGTTTTGAATATAAATTATTTAGGTTCTGATTGGATATGAATTTGATTGGTTTTTGATTGATTCTTTTAATTTTGAAAAAGTTTGTATGATTAATTGTTAGTTGGAATTTAAATTTAAATTATAATATTATTTAAGATAAAATAATTAAAATTGATTTGATGCAAAAGTAGGAAAAAATTGATTGAAAGTGATGATTTAGTTAAAATTATGTGAGTAGAGAATTAAAATTGATGTGATGTGTAAGAATAATTGGTTGATATTATTTAATTATATTGGTAATATATATGATAGTGTGGTTGAATTAAATTTGAGTTTTGATTGATTTTTATTGCTTAAGTTTATAACCAATCACACCCTTAACTATACATGTAATGCATTGATTGTATAAAATTAATAAGTAATATAATTTTTTTTAATTTTGAGGGATCATTACCAACTAATTATTTAAAAAGATATCGAAATAATAATAATAATAATAATTAATATTATTATAGAAATTATTCAAGGGGTTCGACTATGCCATTAAAATTAATTACCTAATTTTCTTAAAAAAAAACGTAGAATGAGATAAAAAAATAATAATAATTGTTTTGGAATAAATATAGTTTGTAAAAAAATGAAATAAATTGTTTTGATGATTATGTAATGTCCATATGCCATTTAGTGTGAATAATAATTAAAATAGTTTATAAAATATGANAGAGTCACTTTGTCCTTCCATCATCTTCTTAGTTGAATCTCGATTGTTGGTCTTTCAATGTTTGTAAGATCCAATAGTCGAAATCATGGATCTTTTTTACAGTTGATTTTCAATGTTAGTAAAATCTAATTGTCTGAAATCAAAATTATAGTTACGATCATTTGGAGACTTTTGTCGAGGCATATATCCTCCGAACAACGATCATCAACCGGGCAAAAGTAAGTTTTCTATACGTCCCCCAACAACAATATTAATTTGAGATGGTTAAAATAGTTTCATAGACAAATAAAAGAGAATCTTGATCTGTCCTCTTCGCAATAAACACGAAAGGGGTGAACCATGGTAAAAATATTGGCTGGCATATGAAACTATTTTAAGCTTCTTCACATTAATCCTAATTCTTACTTGTCAATATAATTGATTATATAGCGCAAAAAAAGTTGTACAGAAAAAAATATATCTATCAAACTCAGAAAAATATATAGAGGACGACAAAATATTAATGATAGCAACAAGTTGAGCATATAACTGAGTTACAAAATATGCAAACAATATCCAATCAACCCCCCATTGCTCAAACTGTTAGTAAGGAACACTATGAATTTGAACATCAGATACCACAATAATAATATAACACTACGTTCCTTTTACGTGGGATAACATAACAATAATTTTTTTTTTTCTAGAAAATCCTATCTGGCAGCACTTGAGACCGGCTTCAACCCATGCTTCATTGCAGCCTCCCAGACTAAGTCAATCCGGTCAACATCTATAGCCCCAACTTCATGATGTGTCCATCCTTCCAAGGCATGCACCGCGCCGCCAGCGTGGCACGCGTGGACCACACCTCTCTCCATCGTGTACTGCTCCACAAAAGATAATAAATAAATTAATTAAGTTTAATATAGTATAATATGACCGCCTAACATTTAGACTGCCTAACAGATACATTTGTGTTGATCTGGTTAAGGTTTCAAGATTTGGGTATAATTTGAAAATTTAGAGAAAGTAGAGGACCTCGCATGAGCCGAGCCCCTCAACATCGTCGGGTAGCCTCATGGCAGCAAGGTCGCCATAAGTGCAATCTCGTCTGAACTGCAAAATCGGAGGGACAACAAATTGATGGAAATGAGCTCCAGACGGCGCGAAATTTTGCTGTCTTGGTGTGATCCACTTGCCCACTATCCATGTCTACATTCAATAAACCAAAAAAAAAAAGTCGTAAAATAAATTTTTAATTCAAGAGAAAACGCGTAATTATTGTTCATTTTCTTCTTGATCTATCAAGTCTTGTTATGTAGTGTACCTTACAGTTTTGGGCTGCTTGGTACTTAGTCACCTGGACAAGATACTTTTGGCAATCAGCCGGTGCTTCTTTCTGAATGTTTCTGAATCGTTCGGTCGATAGAGTCAACATCTGCATGAAAAAAAAAACGCGCATCAATCGGATTTTCAATTTTCTCATACTTTTTCAGAGTATATATGCAAATAGTGTTCTACTTACCAGGACTCGGACTCGTTTTCTGCAAAGATAGAGAGCAATAGCTCGACCGAGCTTTGAAGTGGCACCGGTCAGAAATACTTGAGTCATATTTTGAGGGATTTCATTTAGGATTACGGCTGCAGTTAAAGTGTTCCCATGCACGACTCGAACTTTAAGGTCCGGGTGCTTGTTAACAAACAGTGTTCCGCCTCCATTAAGAGCCTCATTCTATATATCATCAACATATATTTTAAATATTTTAAGTTAAATATTACCACGTCCAAAAATTCGTGCAAGTCGGACAGAGTAAGTAAGAAAACCTTATTCAGAGCAGCAAGGCTGATGACTTTGACTCCCAACCGATTAGCTCTAAGAATAGCTTCTTCAATGTGATTATTTATGCCCTCGGCAGCAAACGGCAAGAAATACTGCACCAAAACACGCGCGGAAATATTGCTCGAGTTTTCAAATAATACCGAAAATTTCACATTTTTGACAAAAAATAACGAACCGAACCTGAAAACCGAACCGCGGAACAGACCATGTCTGGTGCAACCGACCCCTAAGGTTATAATACGATATCAAAAATGTCTTTGATTTAGCCCACATGATTAGCATGACCAAAAACGACAGGGGCAAAAATGGCAACATGTAAATTCTCGTGCAGTAAGGCAAGGCTGCTATTGACCGGCTTACAAAAGGGGCATGCATGCCGGACGACAGGTCAACCGCATGAGCAAGGAACACAAAATCGGGTACCCTTCCGTTTTTATCTGCATTTTTTTTTTTTCAAGAATGAAGTAATTAGTTAATCTTTGATATTCATGCAATGTGTTCCGATTTTTTTTTTTTTTATACCATTAATGGGATACCTGAATTTAAACTGTTTTTACGGTGGGCATCCCATGAATTTTCGTTCAATGTGTTTCCTAAAGCGTCGAAAAGCGGCATGAAAAGGCAGTAGTTTGAGTTCATCTCATCATGATGCAAACTATGGTACCTGTGAAGTTATTAACATGAATAATAAACCTCTTCATATATTCATCTATTTTTCTGTGCATATAAATAAAGATCATATATTTGACAAGCAGAGAATAATTCTCAGCACTGAACTTTGTTTTCCCAGTAACAAAAGACACTACTCTTAGAACAGAACAAGTAGTGCTTAACATCTCGAGATTTAATCGAGTCAGTAGACCAAAAAACAGAGACTAATAAAAATTAAATTCATTATTAACACTAAAAATAATCAACTACTCTTGGCCAAAACTTACGTTGGAGTATAGATCATGTACTTGAGAAATGGGATTGCATCAAACAACCGATGTGGGATAATCTCCACATTAGAATAGCCCAAGCATCTCAGCATATCAAAGCCCAATACATAGCTGTAAATTAAGCTTATCGATCCACGGCCCACTGCAAACGACCCAATAATCGGCAGCCCAATCACGACCGTCAGCAACAGTTGCTCCAAGAATTCGCCAAAAGTTAATGCCGGAAGTCAACGGTCAACACCAAAGTCAACGGTCAACGCCTGAGTCAACTAATAATTATTTTTATTATTTCATTAATTTATATTTTAATTGATTAACATAAATCCTTGATCTAGACAAAATGAGTGGCTAAGATTGCGTCTTACGTACTCATTTTAAGGAGTGGTCTCATTAGATCCAACTCTTATATATATATATATATATATATATATATATATATATATATAAAAAGATTAACATTTACTATAAATAGTATGTCAAAATTTTCGGTCAACAATAATTGCATTCTATTTATAGAAATTGTTTTTCTTTTTTCAGCATTAATCGACCACCATTAATTGCAGGCTATAATTATGGGTTTTCTCTTCATCCGATATTTTAGAGCTTTAAAATCCTATTTTATATTTGATATCAAAAAAATATGTTGCAATTTTAAAGTGTGAGAGATACGATTGGTTGCAAATTTAATGTATGAGAGATCTGATCGCATACAACTTCTTCCAAAAAATCTACCTGTGTTATTTAACATTAAATCAGTCGGCAATATTTGATTTCAAAAAAGAAAAATTTGGTTGCAATTTTCACGTTTGAGAAATCCAATTGCATACAAACTTCATTCAAAAAATCTGGTTGCGTTATTTACATTTATTTAAATTTGAAAAAAAAAAAATGTATGTCCGCATACGACATTACAATCCTGTCCAATATCTATATCTATATCTATATGTCGGGTCGCTCTCCGGTGAGAATAGTGCTCAATGAAAGAAATAAGAATAAATTGTATCCATTAGATCAGATGATCTAAAGGCTAAAAGAAACAGTGCAATGTGGTAATTTTCATACACAAACAGTGGGACCCACGCCACCACACAACCACTAACACGTGAGACCCACCTACCACCTCACCTCTATCTGTCACACCAATTACACACACACGCCACGTCACCCACCACACACCAATACACACAACACACACACACACTTGAGCACACACATAACACACACACACACGAACAAAAAGACGCGACATCAACATCACACTGACGACTGCCACCACCTGCCGTCGTGCCTCCATCGGCTGCACACAAGAGACTCCAGCAGAACAGTCGCCTCTACTTCGCCGCCGTTCAAGTTGTCTTCTCCAGCGTCATCCTTCACCGCCAAGCTCGGTATCAACCTCTTCGATTTAGATGCAGCGACATTCAAGCTCGAAGGTCGATCTTCAATGGGGGATTTTTTTTTAAAAAAAAAAAAAAAGAATATGAAATATTGGGAGAAAGCAAATACTTTTGTGCTAGCTGTGAGTAGAGAGAGATGTGTGCCAATGTAGTGGAAAAGTAGTACTTTTGTTGCTATTGAGTGGTATTTATTGAGTGCAATAATATTGGAGTATTTATACGCACAGCTATGTGCCTACATTGAAATTGGACACAAAACAAACAAAGGATACAACTAATTCTCATTTAAGGATCCTGATGCGGATAGAATATTATTATTATTATTATTATTATTAGATATCTTAGAAAATAAGTTAGGAATTGTTTAATATTTAATAAGAGTTCTTGTCTTGTTGGACAAGTTAGGTCTAGGGTTAGGAGCCTTATATAAAGGACTCCCTCTAGTTTATTTTTATTAGTTGATTTTGAATATGAAATAAGATTAGAGATTGTGAGTCTTGCGTGTTTTACGAGAGAGTATCTCGTTTACTCGTTTATCCTTCCCACTCGTACGCTTCCCTACATCAGTTGGTATCAGAAGTCAGCACGATTCACGATGATGTCGCGAAGACAAGATGCTGCAAACGACAGGCGTGTCGCCGCCATCTACAACCTGAGCCGCCGGGCCGAGTGGTTTGGCCGCGAGCTCGAGACGATGGGTCGTGAGATTGCAGATTTGTCCGTGGAGATCGGGGACATACGTCTAACTATCCGTACCATGGTTCGGGACAAGCAAACGTACCGTGACGTCGGCAACCGGGGCGTTCGCGGGGGATTTTGCGGAGGAAGTGGAGGCCGTGGTCCAAGCGGGGCGCCCCGCCGGAGATCTCCACAACCACCGTCCGGCGATGAAGATGGCGAGGAGACAGTCTCGGAGGTGAATCCCTTCGACGATTTTCCAACCCCGCACGTCGAGGCTGACCCCTTCGCTGCATACGACGGCCGTGACATGTGGCGACGGGGCCAGGTCTTTGTGGACGGCGACGATCAACGCGACGATAGAGGCAGGCACGGGGAGGCTGCTTTCGTCGGCGGATATCGTGCCCGACACGATTGGGGACTTGATCGCGAATATGGTCAATGGGAGGGCCCGTTTCGCGTTGACATCCCCGAATTCGACAGTGAGCAAGTTGACGGGCCATTGTACGACGGTCCGCCGATTTTCGATGAGGAACCTTCGGGGCCGGAGGATGAAGCTGGCACTGTTGCTATCAAAACCATTGAACTTGATGCGATTCTTGGTGGTGTTGCATCTGGATTTACGGAATTTGAAGCAGAGGAGTTTGATATGCGGTTATATATATTGAAACAGTTCAATGGTGCAACCTCCAATATCCAGAAAAGGGCAAAGGCTTTAGAAGTATTTGTTTGGGTTGGGCGAGTAACTCAAGTTGAGGAGAGGAGAAGTGTCATTCGAGCAACCGAGTATTTTGTGGCTAGCCAAGGTAGATCACAGCGTTGTTCAACCTTCGTGTTCGACAGGGGGAAACGTCACGGGGACGTCTCCAACAAGAACGGGTCGGATTCGAGGGCGAATCCTGCTCAACCGGTAGAGAATGATGCGGATAGAATATTATTATTATTATTATTATTATTATTATTAGATATCTTAGAAAATAAGTTAGGAATTGTTTAATATTTAATAAGAGTTCTTGTCTTGTTGGACAAGTTAGGTCTAGGGTTAGGAGCCTTATATAAAGGACTCCCTCTAGTTTATTTTTATTAGTTGATTTTGAATATGAAATAAGATTAGAGATTGTGAGTCTTGCGTGTTTTACGAGAGAGTATCTCGTTTACTCGTTTATCCTTCCCACTCGTACGCTTCCCTACATCAGTTCCTTAACCAGTGTCCACTGCAAATTGGATACACGTTTTGCATCCAATGACCAACTTGAATCTGTATTAAGACTTCAATAGTTCCATGATGTTGCAATTTGGAAAATTTGACAAACAAATTGCGACCTATAGTTCAATTGCAATTTGAATACGACTTTTGGGTACGATTTTGGTAATTTTAGGCACGATTTTTTTTATTTATTGCAAGTTGAGGCATGAATTCAGTTTTCGGTGAATAATGTGTTCAACAATATACTTTTTATATTCCATGCATTAAAAAAAATTAATTCCAACTCAATCTTATATACTATAACTAGAGGTGAGTATAAGATTCAGAGAATTTCAAATTGTTCTAAAAACAAAAAAAAACCACTATAAATTGAAAATTATTCATTGGCCTTGTTTGGCGATCAGCGGATAGCGGATAGCGGATTATATTAGCTGATTTGACCAGCGGATTGCATTAGCGGTTTTTAAATAAGTATTTGGTAAATAGTTGAAAGCTTATAGCTGTTTGACATTGCAAAATGACCCATAAGGATATTTTATTATTTAGGGTGTATTCTTTTTTTCCGTAAAATAGGGAAATTGGTGTTTAATAGTGTACTATAATAGAGGCAGCAGAAATTTAATGTCGTAATTAAGGATGGAGAAAAGGTATGTTGTAGTGTTAGTACTCAAATAAATTGGGATTGATTGTGGGGTAGTTGAACTCTGAAATATTGAAATTTAGTAGGTCCATTTTGGCCTAGATCAACTTATCTGAACGCTAGTTCGCTTCACAATAGTGTATTTGTATTAAGTTATTCAGTAAGCTGAGCTCTTTGCTTATCTCGGGTAACCTCTCTCCGACTTTTATTTTAAATCATAAATTTTAACAATATATTTTCTCTTAAATATGGACAAGAACTCTTGATTTCATGATGGATACCAAGTCATTGAGTAATATTTTTCATCTTAAACTTTTTACTCAAAAATAAAAAAATGGTCATCATATTGGAATCATGTTAGTAGCATGTGCATATGCAAGTTATTTCAATTTCAATTGATCATATCCTTGTGTTGTCTAGCCAATTAAATGGTATAACACAATTATTCAAATAAAGTTGGCCAAGACGTCTCACACAATTTGTTGCACTTTGAACATGTTATTGAGTTGGGCTGGACCTTCCTTATAAGTCGTTGGTTGGGAGGTCTAAATGCATTCAATTCTCCAACAATATTGCCAGTGATTGATCTTTGATGCCTAATAATACCACTTAAAACCCCTTCACATCACATAGGAGGTTGAAGTATACATTTATTAGCTTCTTTCTCTCACACTTGTGTTTGTGTGTGTACGCGCTGTTTTTCTCTGAATATTCAAAACTATCGGCATTGTTTTGCAGCTTGATCTACCAGCTCTGGTTAGGAATATTTTGTCGACATGATGACAAATTTGGTATGTGTTAGGCGATCGAACATTTCTCGCCTTCACTTTTCTCCTTAACGACCCAAACGCGACCCTAACGAGTCAGAATTGACCTGAGAAAATGCTTTTTTATTCTTTTCCTAGAAGAAATTTATTTTACGATTGAAATTATATTTAGGCGTTGATTATTTACAAATTTGAGAAAATCATATCAAGAATAGATTTTTTTTTTCATATTTTCTTAAAATTAAGTGTATAAAATTTTAATTTAAAATCTTCTTTGTTCGATATTGAAAATGATTTCATGAGTTGTGACTCGATGGGCTGGGTGTTTCAGTTATCTCACGATCAAGTCCGTAAACAGTGAATTTCACCATATTTCAGTGGCCACTATCTTTATTGAGGTTTT